TATGTTAGCCTTCAGTTTTCTTGTGAGAGGCTTTATGATGTTATTCTTGTTACAGCATGATATTGAACATTAATCGCTGTTGCATTCCCAGTCGTAGAAGCTTAAAACGCAGAAGAGATTGAGGTGATATGGCCTGCCTGGTGCTTGCTCCTCTAACTGGAGCTTTTTAATTTTTCTTTCAATTTCCTCTTGTTTCCCTGTACCTGTAAGAGAAGGGAGTTTCTCCAATGTCCTGGCCAATACTCTCCCAGATAAAATTGATCATTAATTTTATGGCTGTTGTGAGATATTGCTGCTGCCGTGCTTATCTACAAATTGACAGTCGCTGCACTTTACAGTAAAATGTTGTATTTCAACGTGAAAAGGTGGAAAATCAAATGCAAGGATTATTATTTATTTTTATAAACACCCCGAGATGCTGCCCCATGTGAAGGGCACTATATAAATGTGGGTTGTTGTTGGTATATAGTGCTATATGCAATAGTTTGAAGAATGGCTCTTGTTCCACAACAAAGTTGCAAAAGTATTACCAGTTCTTGGCTATTATAACCTTTAGCATTTCAGTTGCCATTTACATGTACTTATTGACGCAGCTTGGAGAAGGGCTGAAAACTGACACTTCATAACCTTGCAATTTTCAAACAGAATTGTAACTCTAGCACAAAATATTTCAGGTGTTTCAAGTAATTACGCACAACAAATATATGTGACTTCTGTAGAATGTGGAACACCCAGCAGTGCACACTGAAATGTAAAACAAATTGTGCTAATTTGCAAGATTTTTTTTTCGCCTGACACATGCTAAAAACCTAGCACCATGCTTAAGAGTTATCCAAGCTAAGCTGAGATTTTTATGTATCCTAAACCACATGGAAACCCCAGAGATGGATGGTTGGAATGTAACGCACACTCTCTTCCTGGGGAGACGCATTCTGCTTACCTAATTCCAGAAAGTATTAGGAGCAGGTCGGCAGGCGCCAAGGCTTGGGGAACCCACAATGTGTGTTGGGGTACTGCTGGTGCCTATCCAACTAAAACTGCATAGCTTGTCATCGATATTGCTATCCAACAAGCTTTCCTGCTGCTTGTCCAGCTAGGACCACCCTACCAAATAGGGCTTTGTCTTATAATAATAATCCTTGCATTTGATATAGCACCTTATCACATCTTCGAGACATCTCAAAGCGCTTCACAGAATATACTGTAAAGTGCGGACTGTATATTGTGTGAGCAAAACTCAGCAGCCAATTCGCACAGCAGTGTCCACAAACGGTAGTGAATTTAGTGACCAATTTCTTATTATTATATTGGAAGGAATTATTACCCCTGGAAAAGTGAGGGGGTTTGCAGGATTAACAGGAGCTGAGAGGGATGACTCCTTGCCCCCAATAACTGGTCTGCCCTTCCAGGTCCTGCCGATGAGCCAGGCTGGCTGTGCTGTCATCGGCAGTGCCCCGGAATACTGCAGACCTGCCTGGCTCAGGAACTGAACTACCAAGACTGCCACAGAGGGCTTACTCTATTCCGACAATCCATTTCCAGGCATGTCCCCTTGGAGCCACTTCAGTTCCAAGGAGTTGATGGAGAAAAAAGTAACATTTGCCTGTGAGGAGTTCAATGCTTACAAGTTTGACTTTGAAAGGGCTTTGACTTTTAATTCATTGTTATGAAGTGGTCTTAAAGGTCATTTCTAAAAGTTGTCAATCCTTTTTATACAGGAGCTTGTTTGAAGCTGTATTTAATTTTTGATTTTTTTTAATGCTAGGTGCGATTATTACAGCACCATTGTAAAGTTCTTTATGTCCTGCAGCAAAGTAAAAGGGGTGGTAATCTCCCAGGTAGTTTTCATTGGCAGATGCAGGTATACCCTTCAGTACCACCTCTGTCATCACATGTACTCGGGCATAGATTTACCTAATTAAAGCTTTCAATGCACTCCCTGCAAATGTGGATTAAAGTAAAATACAGAAAGTATTGTGCATTTCAAACCTGACCAGTATGTTGCGTGGAGATGAACTGCATGGAATTTAAGTGCAAGGTATGCCCTTTAGGTAGTGTGAGATGAACCTTGTGGAACAGATTTGAGAACAATAATTACATTCTCAGAATTTAAGTGAACGCATGACCCATGATTCTTTTCTTTGAACAGCGATTAATAAAATCGCATTCCTTTTGATTTACTTTAACTTTGCTGGGTGTTTAAAATAGGTTCGGCATAATACAGCCTAATCCAATCTGAGACCAGGCTACTCTGAATATACAGTTGCTTAAAATCTTAAATTTATTGCAACAAACCAAAACCCAAACTAATTGAATCCAGTAAGGTATTCAGAAAGCCATGCTGTTTAGAGCAATCTATTCTGATGAAAACCTCTATAGCAGGTTTTTCTTTACACTGTGCCGAGTGCTGTGTTGTACATAATAAATTAATAAAAATTGATGATAATCCTTACATTTGGTATAGTGCCCTTGACACCGAGAGGGTGTTATGTAAATGTCATACAGCACAATGTGATCGTATGGAATAAAATGCATGAAACTGCTGAGAAAATCACAGTCATTTAACAACCAGATATTCAATATTCTCCACTACTGCACTAGTCGCTTCACTCTGTTTCATCAATGGGGAAGGCTCTCCTGTCATATATGGTCTATCCAGACCATATTTCAAGAAAACATCCTCTCAACATTTTACATTGGATGAAGACATAAACTTGTGCTTCTTACTTCAAAATGTAATTTTGGAGGAACTCTGTAGTGGAGTAAATCAGGGGCTGTCCTTTGATCCTTCAGATCTGAGTTTGCCTCCATCTTTGACTAATAATATGAAAGGCTCCTCCTCTCTGAAGCCTGAAAGAGTTGGTGGGAAGTGACATGGAGCAGTTTCTATCCCGTCCTTAATGGGCTTGCCCACACAATACAAAACTCTCTTGAATTTGCCACTGAATTAGTAATCTCACCACAAGGTGGCTTGAATGGAATGGAATTCAAGCACATTGTCAGAGTAAAGGAGAATCAGCTTCTCAATACTGAGTGCCTGAAATAACACATTTTATTTTTCTGCAGTGACATTCATTTCCTTGTTGAACAAAAAAATTCACTAAGAAAGGTTAACAATTATTACTTAATCCTCGGAAGCTGTTGTTAATTTTTTTGTGTGCCTTTCGATATAGTATTGGATGTCAGCATGGCTCAATTGGTAGCACTCTTGCTTCTGAGTTAGAAAGTTGCATGTTCAAGTCTCACGTTAGGACTTTGTGCTCATAGTCTAAGTTGACACTCCAGTGTAGCACTGGGGCAGTGGTGCTTTGTCATGTGTGCCCACATTCAAATGAAATGTTAAACCAAGGTCCTTTCCTTCAGTACAGGTGTATGTTAAAGATCCATGGCATTACTTAAAAAGCATGGAAAGTTTCTGCTGGTGTCCTGGCTAACAATTCCCCAATTAATAAATTAATCATTCATTTTGTGGCTATTTGTAGGACATAGCTGTGCATAATTTGGCTGCCACATTCATCAACAAATGCAGTCAGTCTTTTTGCCTCCAAATGTATATTCACTCCACTTTATAGTATATCTTGTCAAGCGCTTTGAGATGTTCTCTTGACGTGAAAGGCACTATACGACAACAACAATTTGCATTTATATAACGCCCTTCATGCAGAGTAGCATCTCGGAGTGCTATGCCAAATGTAAGGATTATGATTTCGGGAGCAAGGGTTATTATTAAATGGTGGCTCATTTATAATGCACTCTTTAGAGCATGAATTTGATTTTAAAATGATTGTAGTGTGGACTCCATTCACTGTGCAGTTATCTCACTTGTATTCCACATACTAGTTGGCTTTCCTGCCACTGACATTTTCTGCTTGCTCCGCATGCACAAAGTGGGAAATGACATTGACTACTACCTGATATCCTGTTAGTGTTTTTTTGTAGCATGGGAATCCAATGTCTGTATCTATGTGCAGTGAACCCAGGTATTATAGCTTGTTATAAACTAGGTTTGGGATTTTATGGATCAAAAACAGCACATTGTAAATAAATGTCACCTATGGAACTATATCACAGCCTGATCCCAAACTGGAGTAGGCCATGCAGTCCCTCAAATCTGTTCCACCATTCTATAAGATCATGGCTGTCTGTACCTCAACTCCAATTATCTGCCCTTGCCCCATATCCCTTGATACCCTGACCTAACATATCTATCCACCTCAGTCTAGGGCCTGTATATTGATTGAAATGTACTTTCTGCTGCTGAGTGCGTGAGTTGCAAGGTGAATTGTAGGCCCTATATTTAACCTGTATCACTGTTGGAAACAAACTGCTGGAAGACCTTAAATATTATGCTCGAAGGTCACCTCTAGCAGCATTTGACATCATTTGGCATCATGTAATTCTGTTAATGAGCAGGAGCAGACAGCTGGTGACTGTAGAATATTCATAAGTGTTTGGAGTAATCAGATCAGCTCGGACTGCTTTGATTGGGATCTTATGGAAATGAATCTACCATTGCATTAAATAATGTGTCTTTTCTTCACTGTGCTCCCCCTCTGGCTGACCTTGCAACTGAGATACCACACCATCCTTTGACCCTGCTTTAATACTCGGGGTTTTATTATTAAAACTCGTGCATTTATGGCACTTGGCTGCACTTTCTTTAATCAACTTTGGATTCAAGAGCACACAAAAAAATCAGACTTCACAGGTTTCATCTCTCATGTTGTTGCTATTGTTCTCCTGCAGTTGAAGGTGATTAAGTTTAAAATCAGTTTTCACAAAGTTTAAACAGGTCTGGGTGAAACTGGTAGGGGCCGGGCTCTAACCACTACAACTTTCAGAGGCACTTGCTACAGTTGAGGGATTTTTTGTCAAGGTGCTTTTTAAATGGAACAGGTTGTTAACATTACATGTTAATTGCATATCTTAGATAATCCTCTGACTGACGTTTCACAACTCCTCCTACTCTGTGTGTATGTGTGTGTGTGTGGGTATGTGTATTTATAATGAACTATGCCCAAGCACACAATACCAATCCTGCTTTTCACATCAAAATTATTATGCTCCCTGCATGCAGAGAGTGACTGGATCAGATGTCCATTTCATAATTGTTAAAAGAAACTCCTCCTGCACAGATTGACAAAGGAACAGTTAGAGTTACTGGAAGTGCACACAGGTTGGATTTTGGGAGAGAATCTGAAGGGCTTATAAGTTGAAAAGGTTCCTTAACTACAACTTTAAATTACTTTAATATACTTTAAATTCTGTTTCTTTCAGTTAATCAAGAACAAGAAGAGGTCCAAGATGCCACCCCCTGTTCAAGATCTCCCTCCCCCAGACGGAGACTGGGGCTGGGCAGTGGTCGCCGGAGCTTTCATCTCCATTGGTTTTTCTTATGCGTTTCCCAAAGCCATAACTGTGTTCTATAAGGATATCCAGGAGATCTTTCATACCTCATATAGTGAGATCGCATGGATCTCGTCAATCATGCTGGCGGTCATGTATGCTGGAGGTAGGGTACTAAAATTCCACTTTATTAAAATGCTGTGTCTGGTTTGCGCCAGGCCCTTTCAAGTGACGGGAATGATTTTATATAATTCAAGTGAGCTCCTATCTCAAGATAAAAGTGTGAGGATATAGAAATGTTTCTGAAATTGTGTCAAGGATAAGCATTGAGGGTTACTGATTACCCAAAATAACTTAGCAAGTAACACCGGGCGATAACGGACATCAAAGGGTAGGCGTGAGTGAGAGTTGTCAGTCAAGACAAGCGTGATTCATTTTAGACAAACTGCCCGTCTTCAATCTATATTCAATTTAAAAACTACATGCTCGTTATTTATTGTAATTTAAATTTGTTCAGAATGCTGTATCTGACCGTATCATGAATTTTGCCTAGGCAGAGATGTGCATTACTACATATTCAAATGATAGTGCCCATCCATAGAGGATGGAGGGGCAATATGGGGAGATTCCTTTTATTTTATCCCTTTCACTGGTTGGGAATGCGCAGCAGGTTGACCGTCAAAAGGTAGTGTTGTCTTTGGGATCTTACTCTTCAGATAGTGAAGCATTATCCAGTTATTTGGCCAAGCAACAAAGAACATAGGCAGCTTGAAACCACGGCAGCAAGAAATAAAAGGTTCCATTAGTCACCAGTCCGAAATATGAATCGTTTTGAGTGCAATACAAACATATAATATATAACATGGAGCAAGCCCATAATCCTTTTGCAAGCCTGCCTTCTTAATGCAGCTTTTTAGAATTTGCAGTTGGGATTTTCATTGTTATAAATACAGGCGATGTTCACTGTCTAATTTACTTTATAAAACGCCACAGAATGAAATTAACTTCATTCATGTCTTGTGAATTTGTGCAGTTTAGTTCTTTGCGTAGGCTTGGTTATCATGCTTAATTTGCAATTGAAAAGAGTTGGCAAGGCAGCTATGCTGTTACTGGTCGCTTTTGTCATTCTTGGTAATTAAACTGCCAGGTTTAATAGTTTTTGTATAGGGCTCATGTAGAACTAGGAATATGACTATCACACGTGACAACATTATACATGTACAAACTTTATTGCATATTGCTATCACATGCCCACGCATCTGTGGAATCAAACAATTTTAGTTCGATTGTAGGACAGAAGCTTCACTATATTCCATCAAAATCTATAGAAGAACGTGCCATACTTAATATACATCCATTTAGCTTTGAATGATGTATTCTAAACGTGTAGAACTGTTTAAAAAGGAATGATTGTGGGAATGTAGCATTGCTGTCAGATTCTATATGACATTGTACAGTTCAGAACAGAGACAAGGAGAGGGAATGAGCTGGGCATATGGACGCCCCTTGTATGGACCGAGTTATGAAGGTCCTTTGATATTAAAGCCATTTTTTTTAACAATCTCCCCAGGATTAAATCAATTGTTGGTTAAAATAGCGTCACCATAAAGCTACAAATGTGAGAATCCCGAGGAAACAATATTTAAAATGCAGTTGCACAGTTACTGCAAAATGTTGACATCAAGTCCATGTTTTGTTTAGTATCAAAGCTCTTCTAAAGCAAAAGGGGCATTTTTTTTGTATTGTCCATGTCGGATACCTTGTTTGTGGCATTTTAAATGTATTTTTTAAATCTATTTTTAACCAATGCAACTGCAAGAGTTACTTAGCTATTAGTCTTTAATGTTGGGTTTCTTTACCACTATAAAAATAAATGAGTTTGTTTCCCCTCCTCCCCCTCTCCCCAAGTTCCAGTTGTCCCCATAAGAAGAATGAAAATAATATTTCAGATTCATTCGAAGTGTATATTGGTTCACTTTAGATAATAATAACTATAATAATAATCTTTGCATTTGATACAGCGCCTTTCATGTCGGGTGGTTGGCTCACAGTGCTTCACAGGATTTACTATAAACTTTAGTGACTGAGAAGTTTTGTTGATGTTTTTCCCAGAACAATAGCAATAGTGGTATGACGTTCATTGACACATTAATGCAATCTAGGAATAAACTGCAGAATTCAGATTTCTGGGCTGATTTGATGGAAATAAAATCAATATTTGATGAAGAGAAACAAGGTAATAATGCTCTAATATAAGCTCTTACCTAGTTCAGGAATGTTTCAATATTCCTGAAATACTCAGTGTGCATTATTGCCAAAAAAAAGGTCAGGAAATGTAAACAGTTTTCATTTAGCTGATAAGCCACAACTGCCAAGGATCAAACTCTGAGCAAAATCCTTCACGAGCGGCTGATAAACAGCTCAGCTTCACATCACGGTAAAACAACTGCTGAGAATGATTTCTCAATCCATTTTCTGGGCATCAGTGGTAAATCAACTTAATTTCCACCCTGCCAATCTCCAAAGTTTTCTCTTAACTAAAAAAGCCACCTTTCTTGTATCATGCTATTCCAAAGTCACCATAAATATTGTTAAGTCTTTTTGTTCTGTGATCTCAAGTATTTACAATAAATTGGAAAATTTCCGTGTGTAGATAGCTATATGTGGAGCTCTGAGTATGGTTTAAATACTTTTATGCATGGGTTTTTGCATGTGTCAAACTGAGCACAATTTTTTTAAAACTTTTTTAGGAAAGCCATATTTGTTGCAGCAATAGTTATTTGTAGCTGTCAGATCAAATGATCTAGTTCAGCAAAAGTTCCGTCCTTCTCCACCAAGTAAAACCCACAGATTTTATTCTAAGTAACAACTTGCATACTTTGAGTAAACAACATAACACTCCAATTACTCTTAAAATGTGGGTGTGTACAGATGATGTTGAGAGAGGTGAGGAAAATGTATTTATCTAGAAAGTGACATAATAGCTAGGGCTCTGAAACACAACCCTGCTTAAAGGGTGCTATATAAATGCAAGTACCTCTTTTCACTATTGGACAGCACAGGATAAAAGAAAAGGCTCTCATCCAATAGGTGGTGATCCTTCTCTCATCAAAGTAACTTTTCTTGTCTTTATTTAGTTGAAATGACTTTGGTAATTTCTCATCTGAACTCTCTGGCCTTGTACCTTCCAAGCAGCAAATACACTGTTATTCATGTTATTCTTTGTTGCTGCAGGTTCACTGTCGTGAGATCAACCACCACCAGCTTGTTAGCTCATTTTACCAGGACCTCAAAACTGTTTGTTCTTCCCATTCCTCACGGTTCCCATTGTCTAATAATTTAGAGGCTTTAAAGGATGTTTAATGTCAAGCCTAAACATGACTTAAACTTGTCTCATCCTGCCTCCCACTCTGTTCAATTGTAGCCGTTTCCCCAGGGCTTTCAAAAAATCTTTCAAAATGTGAATCATTTTTAATAATGCAGTATTTGATTTCATACGGGAGTTGTTTTGCCAATATGAAAAAAGGAGGTAAACAAGTCTGATGCAACAACTGTTATTTTGCCAATGTTAAAATAAATCATGGGACACCTAAAAGGTGTGGTTTATTGGAATGGCAAAATGCAGGTTTAGGGCTGACGTTGAAGGTCACAAGATATGCCGCGCTTAATAGAATTCAAACATTGTCCTTTGTAATATTGTCTTCTGTGGTTTCACCCCAATCTTCCACTCCATATAGAGTATAGTTCTGCCTGTTTCAAACCATCAGCTGACAGAAAGAGTGTGGACTTCGCTAAAGATGATATGATGGGGGCGGCAATCAAAACACTTTGTGTTTGTGTTTGAAAAATATGGGTGAAAGGAGAGAAACAAAATCTGCAAAGTATTTCTAGTAAAAGATTTATAGCTGCTCATCAAATTTTTCAGTCATGCTTATAGGTGTTTTTGAAGCATCCTGGAGAGCTCATATTGCCCAACTGGTCAACCGCAGCTGTTGTTGGCACAAAACAACATTGTCTGATGATATATTTACGAATGGAACATCCTCCTATGCAAGGTCATCCAGCTTTGAAGAGCATGACTGACAGATATAGTTGAAAGCAGTCTACTGCTCAGCTGATGTTCCAATACATGGGTGGCTGACATAGTTGGCTGCATTCAGTGCATTTGGCTGTTCCTATTGAAGTATGTAATCTGACCAGTAGGACGTGTTGGAAAATCAGTGATGATCTTGGCGCCAGTGAAACTATGTCTTGCTTTCCTTGGCCAACACTTGCATTTAGAAGTTCAGTGTTAGTAATATTCCTTAAACTTGCTTTGTCCTTCAGTAATTATCATTGTCAAACATTTGATGAAAGTTTCATCTATAGTGCACTAGTGATCTTTTTCCTCTCTACTTCCTCTTGAAATTCAGAAAGCATTGCTAAGTTACTGATTTTGGTTTTGCCATTTTCATAGTACAGGAACATCTTAATAATCCCTGACATGACTCAGATAAGAATCATTTTTTTGCAGGACTTGGTTCAATTGTTAAGTTGGTTAAAGCTGCAAGGATCTTTCTGTGGCAATGCATCAGCCAATATCAGTTTGCATCCTTTTACATTTCATCCGTGTTGAACTTCTCTGTTTATGCTCCTGGCCCAAATGATTCTTTCCAATGAGATACATTTTTCATGATGTAGCAAATACAAATGCACTGGTAAGAGTACAGCTCATTTCATATTGGGGTCTAAAGTGTAGCTATTTCCATTAGGATTCTTTAATGAGATCTCTGAATCTCAAATGTGAAGAGACTCCTTCGATTAACCAAAGTTCATCATCACAAATCATGTGGAAGTAGATAGTGTTATATCAGAGTCCCTGTGTGATATTGATGTAAATTGGAAGTCTTTTTTGAATATGCCCATTAGAAATAGCCATAATATAGAACCTTACCTTCCCAAACAGATGTCTGATTATACTAATTTATTATGTGTTTTTGGTGCATTTTCAAAGCTGCTGAACAAAAAGCACTCATTTGAAGTAAATGCAAGTGGTGATTCATTGAAGACCACTGTTTCTGAATGATCAATGGCAGTTTTAACACTTATCTACATTGAAACAAGAGAAGACTATTTAAGCCCATTGAGCTTGTTCTGCCAGTATATTAGACCTTGGCAGTTCTTTTC